CCACACTCCCCCCACTTTCTCTCTGTGTGTGCCAGCGATCTTCCTGTTTCCTCAACGTCTGGGGAACGCTGAGTACCACAAAGACTGGGAGACGTAGGTGTGATGGAGAATGGAGATTTCTATCAAAAAAATCGTGTTTTATTTAAAGAAATGTTATTAGTGTAATTTAAAAGTGACAAAAGTGGTTTATGGGTAATCAGAGGAATAAAAGGGACTCACGGTGGTCTGAGAGCACAGTGCGTGAGTCTGTCCCGGAGTGTGTGTGCGTGCATGTGTGTGCGTGACTGCAGCGTTTCTCACTGCCAGCTGTATCATTCTACCCCCACTGGATCCCACAGCCTGCTAATCCTCAGCTAGCAGAATCCTGCTCCCAGTTGCCACAGGCTGGTCCTGTTCACACATGACTGGGCAACTCTCCTGTTCAGCTTGAATGAATGAGGTTAAGCTGGGCTAACTCGTAAACAGACACCGGTTAGGGTGAAGTCGCAGTTGGATTTACCCTGCGCTGAACCGGACTTTCCTTTGACCCGAAATGTTAGGTGATGTGTTGTCACTGAATCGGATTTAGGTTCCATTTTCCCCTTGAAGGTGTGTGTTTCTCTTTGTTTCTATCTGTCTGTCTGTTTTGACGCTGGTCCTGGAATATGCATTAGTCAGTGGCCACAGAGGCTCTGGGCAGACAGTACAGGAAGCTTCCAGAAGATTATACAGGTCACAGAGGAAGGGAACCCGGCCCAAGACTGGCAAGCCAGACCCCTTCCTGCAGGGACAGGTAGCCTCGGGTTCTTCCTTTGCCTTTTGAACATTGCTAAGAAATATGAACTTGTGTGAGTCCCCCATTAAAGGCTTTCAGACAATTAGCCATTTGTTTGTATCTCTCCAAGTCATTTTATGTGAGAGAAGAATTGAGTTGTAGCCCCACCTGCTGGACGAATTGAGTATTGCATAGAAACCACTAAGTACTTGGTGACGACAGTCAAGCAGGATAGGAAGGGGGCTGCCCCCACTTCCTGTACAACAGTTGCATATTTATATAAATACCTGTATACATATAAGATAAAGGTTTTTGGAATAAATAAGCGCAAAGAAATGAAAAGGTAAGGAAACACGCACACAACTGTATTGCAGAAATTTGATCCAGTAGATTGAATATTTTTTTGTTTTCTCCAGTAACTGCTTAGTAATGATCAGGTGATGGGCGTGGTGCCCAGGCACTGCAGACAGACGCAGCACGCTCTCCGGACAGTAGGAGGGGGCGGGGAGGGCACCATCAGCACAGTGGTGCCGGGAGAGACGGAGGTGGGCGCGGGGGCCTGGGGATGTGGAAAGCGAAGCGGCGGTCAGATGATTGAGTCACGACTACGGCGCTGCAGCCGGAGCGATATGGGGGGGAGCCTGAGAGGAGGCGCACAGGCACGCACGCTCACACACTCACAGCCAGCACCTGCGCTCCAGTCATAGGCCGGGAGCTCACTGCGGGATGGCACCCCCCGTGCCACGGCTTCTCTGGACATGTGCGGGGGGCTGCGGAGAAGGGGCAAGCAGAACTCAGAGGGAGATGGGGGGGTAGCTGTGAGGCGGCACTTAGGGGAAAGCGGTGAGGGGGGGCCTGGAGTTTATTCCTATCTCCATCATCAAGAAACAGCTCTTCGGCCAGTCCAATGGACGAACACCCTCAGGTAAGCAGCAGATGTGCTGATGACTGTGCAGGTACACTGCAGGAGCACTGTAACTGGAGGCTGTGTGGGTACACTGCAGGAGCACTAACTAGAGACTGCGGGTACATTGCAGCAGCACTGTGACTGGAGACTGGGTACACTGTAGAAGAACTGTAACTGGAGACTGTGAGTACACTACAGGGACACTAACTGAAAATTCTGAGTACACTGCAGGAGTATTGTAACTGGAGGTTGTGGGTACACTGCAGGGGCACTGTAACTAAAGACTGGGTACACAGCAAGGGCATTGTAACTGGGAACTGCTGAGGTACACTGCATGGACACTAACTGGAGAGTTTGGGTACACTGCAGGGACACAGTAACTGGAGACTGTGCAGGGACACTAGGAGCACCATAACTGGAGGCTGTGTGGGTACACTGCAGGAGCACTGTACCTGGAGGCTGTGCGGGCACACTGCAGAAGCACCGTAACTGGAGGCTGTGTGGGCACACTGCAGGGACACTTACTGGAGATTTGCAAAACTGTGCAGACTTTAAAAAGCATAAAAAGTTTTAGTGGCTAAATTTGTAAATGTGTATTAATATATGCAATATATCCAAATGTACCCACCAAAAAAATATATATATATATCCCCACAATGTGTGATAAAACCCTATTATTATGACATTGTGGGGACCATTTTTTCGGTCCCCACATGCAGAAACTCAGTTTTCAGACAATTCTGTGACTGCAATCAAAAAACTAGAAGTGTCAGCCTTGTATTTTGTTTGGTTACTTATGGTTAAGGTTAGGGCTGGGTAGGGGTTAAGGTTGCCATGTTGGGATTAGGGTTTTTCCCATGTAGATCAATGGATGGTCCCCACAAAGATATGAATACAAATGTGTGTGTGTCTGTGTGTTTATGTGTGAGCTTTGGAGTATGTTCTTGCGCATGTATGGATGTCTGTTCTGTGTTTTGCTGTATTTTTCCATTTCAAGTGGGTGTGCATACGTATTGGTGTCTGGGGGGGCTCACAGGGGAGGCTGCTCCAGTATGCCCCACCTCATACCTGTACATGGTCCCAGCTCATCTCCGGTGGAGGGGGGGCATGCACACCCACACTGACATACTGGTGTGTCATCAACAGCAGTGCTGCAGGTGGGAGGTGAGATGTGACCCTTCCAGTCTGAGATTGACACAAATAAGTACAGAGAATTCAGAGTTTTTATGTGACGGTACATTTAAATATAGAGAAGGCTAGGCTGCTGTAGTTGTCACTGTTTGTCCTGGGAATGCCCATTCTTGGAGCTTCTCTGCTGTGATTGGTTAGAACTCGACACCTCCCATTCCATAATGCACAGCACCCTCGTTGGCTGTCCCAGAAGCAGTGGCAGATACCTGGGTTTCTAGCCCGTCATGACTGTATGGCAGAACTGGGCAGACGGCATATCCACATCTGCTCATATATGCTCCTCTAGGGGGCGCTCCATGGCCCTCTCATATGCACCCTAACCGACACTTTCCGTTGTCACAGGAAGTGTGTCCGATCGTTCTCTTGAGCCCTCTCCCCGGAGCCTGGCGTTATGTAGAGAACCACCTGAGTGAGGCAGGCATGTGCAAGGAAATGCCTTACAGGGAGCTGGGAAAACTGGAGCCCAGTACTCCAGGAGGTTAAGAGCCCAGCGAACTCACACCATGCACAAATGCATCCACCCCCCAGAGCTGAAAGAGAGGTTTGGAGGTGGGGGCCAAGGTGAGGGCAGCCTGCTGTGACTCCCCCCGTTTCCCCTCCTGGCCTTCTTACGACTGTGAGGTCTATGGGAAAGTCAAACACATTGCAGAACATTCCTGTTTGATACTCTGGTTCATGGGAGAGAGGCCTGCACATCCCCTCCCAACCTGCAGGGGGCGCCTCAAGAAAAGGAAGACATTTGGAATTACTCATTGATTACGTATGTGTTATTGTTGCGAGTTGGGGGAGTAGATGGTTAAAAGTACAAGGTACCCTAAAGCACTGTTAACCAGATAGATTACTAACATTAATCAATAAGTGACAGTAAACCAGTACAGACTGTAATGACCAATTCACACAAGACCAATTTAATAAAGACCCCCCCCCCTAAGTTGCTCATTGTGACCCAGAGTGAGAGAGAACTTGGAACACAGTGGCTTGGACAGCAGGAACACGGTTACATAAGTGTCTGAGTGAGTGACTCAGCCCTCCCAGAGCACCGTTGATGGGGGGGGGGGAGCGTGTTCGCTCTCCGCAGATGGCAGCAGGGCCCGGCCGCTCTCAGGCAAGCTCAGTCACACTCTCTCACACAGACCTGCCTATAGATAGCTGTACCACAGGAACCAAGAACAGCATCAAGGCTGGCTTTCAGCGTTCTTTGTGAGTCTGTGCTCTGCAAGGCGTGAACAAAAGATCTGCGGCACAGACTGTTTCCAAAAGCCAAGGCAGAATGCAGATAAAGCCTGTAGCGTAAAAGCAGGGGGAGGCCGCAGCTGCTTGGCACTCCTGGAGGGGTGTGTCAGCTCCGCTCGGTCTGTTTCTCCTCTTCGGCCTGTCATTTGTCCTCTTCACTCCTCCTGCTTTTTCTCCTGGCGAGAGTGTCCATCTATTTCTCACGGCATTCCTACATACCACATCTGCACCAGCTGCACTGGCGGCACTACCATAACTCGCGTGTTGTGCACTATCAGTTCACGCGTGACTCAACCTGCTGTTCCTCCCATGGCCTGTGGAGGGCAGCATAGAACCTCACATTATTTTTAAAAGGCTAAATGGGGACCTTCTTGGTCCAATCTGGAATACTGACATATTGATACTTGTGTCTGGTTAGCAGCGCCGACAACACGCCGGAGACCCTGAGCAGGAAATGACATCACACTTTAAGTTCTGTAGCTCATGTTTTGTTCGAAACATCTCGCATTTTTACATATTTGTGTAGAAGAATTTTACTTTGAGTCCCAGAAGACTGTTCCCAGAACAGCAGCCACTGGACCAATAACCTGCATGTTACAGTCCTTCAACACTCTACCTTCTGCTACAGTGAGAAATTGTGCTACATCTGATACTTGGGCACAAGCAATGGAAAGGGTTAATTAAGGTATCCTGATGTCTTGAGGGCCTTGGCCTAGCACTGACTATTTTTGTTATGATCTCTGCCCCCCTCTGCCGCCCCACCCTGCCTGTTTATGG